AATGTATTTCCAGGAAACGAGCATCCCCCTTTGCGGCGAAAATTGTGTGCTTCTATGCGAGCCCGTTCAAGATCACCCTAGCTCTCTCAGAGATTCAACAATCCGCATTCCCGCTAAATGGGGACGTCTAGACGTGACGCCATTTCTCGGCGGCAGGAACGGCGGCCGGCCATAACTAAATGGAAAATGGGTGAGAAAAAGTACATCTCTTCAAAAAAAAAGCTGTATATCCAAAACGACTCTGGGTTTTATGCAGCATAGACCTCCTACTGCATTTTGGGGAAATCGCATTATCGCACAACCACGTGTGTGGCCTCCCATTGCAATTGCACTCAGCCTATAGAAACACAAAGAATGTCATTGTTAAACGCTGCGGGAAACTACGTGGTTTGTATACTGTAACTTCGCCTGAATGCTCAAATAATCCTCTGCTGTATAAACCCGGGAGTCGTTTTACAGTGAAAGCTGTTATGAGATTACAACATGGGTCACGTGCAGCGCCGTAGTTGTCCACCGCCGCCGCCGCCGGTGTCCATATCCGCTATTGCAATATATCAGAAAAAAAGTTCCCATAAGAAACACCAAAGACATGTGGTGACTTAGTGAGATTTGAACCCGGGTCCTCTGCGTGTCATTCCAGTATTCTACCCCCGAGCGACGTCGGTGCTTGGTATACGTTCACGACCTTGCCTTGCTACAGACATTCTGTATATACCGACATTCTGTATACAGACATTCTGTATAAGCTACCTTTAGGTAGCAGAGTTGCACATGTCTTTTCCTTCCACTGCTCGCGCCGCTATTTGGCGAGCGCTGTCACGTGGTGCAAAGTGACGTCAAATATTCAATTTTAAGCGGCGAAGCCGACCTAACGGTCTCGATGGCACGGTGCCAGTGCACTCTCTGTGCGCACCGACTTGTGTCTCATCGTGACCGCCATTAGGGGCTTTCAGCTTGTACAGATGCGATATGCGTTACCATGTTTCCACATGAAATCTGTGCCGGCGCGGGTCTTTACAGAACATAAACATTTACGTAACCGACACTACCCGCTAGATAGGCCTACGCTTGCGACGCTATTTCGCAAATCCACCTTCGTCCATAATGATTGGTATGTGGGGTTTAGCGTCCCAAAACCACCATAGGATTATGAGAGATGTCGTAGTGGAAGGCTCCGGAAATTTCGACCATCTGGGGTTCTTTAACGTGCACTCAAATCTGACCACACAGGCCCACAACATTTACGCCTCCATCGGAAATGCAGTCGCCGCTGCCGGGATGCGAGCCCGCGACCTGTGGGTCTGCAGCCGAGTACTTTAGCCACTATACCACCGCGGCGGGGACCACCTTCGTCCATAGACAGTCACGATGTCTGCGTTGCAGAGACTCCATACATCGTGTAAAAATGAGCCAAAGTGCGAGCGCTAATAGCGATTACATCGTTTCAGCCAGATTACCAAAGCTAGAATGGCCAGAACATCAAAGCTCCAAACGTTGAGCCCCCGACAGACTGGATAGGCGACGCCATTTAGCGGAGTCAAGATAAACCAGGCAATTACAAAATTGGTATTGCATAAACAATGCCCATCCTACAGCTGGTGTAAAAACCGCGCTACGGCGTTAGAAAAATGAGTTACTTTTTAAAATTATTTTCACCTCATTAAATAATTGTGAAGTTTAACGTCTCAAAACCACCATATTAGTATAAGAAACGCCATAGTGGAGGGCTCCAAAAATTTTGACCACCTGGAGTTCTTTAACATGCGCCTAAATCTAAGCACATGGGCCTCAAGAATTTTCGCTACCTATAGCAATATACCGCCTCACTGCAACAGTGCCATCTCGCTCAGTGCGCAAGAATGAGTCGGCGGCACGTCATGCGTGACGGAACATCGCGCCGTATTTTTTACTTGCGCGCACGACGATTGGCTTCACTGCACAGTTGTTAAGCATAATGGCGGATCTATGCGCAACTTTTTTCCGTAGGGAGCATATACACTCTAGTTTGACTAACTCAACCGTCGAAACAAGCGTAATTAGTGCTAATGATGCATCACATCGCGATGAAAAGTCGGGTGTTGGTATGTTCAGCCTGAATTGGATTAGTCATATTCATTTTTTTCTTTCGACTACCTGATTTCATACACGTTATTGTGGGTGAGCTTGTAGCAGTGGTACTCGCTTTAAGAAAGTTAAATATGGAATCACATCGGCAGTTATAAATACAGATTTTCTGTCTCTTTGCGGTCAACTTTCTGTAGGTGTTGACTCGCACAAACGATGACTCGCTCATAGTGAAAGCGTTTTGATCATTATTATTCATACAGTTAAGAAAAAGGTATATTAGTTTGGGTGCCAGGCCATAAATGGCTACTCCTAAACGATATTGCTGATTCTTCAGTGAAGTCATCGATAAGTGAGCCAATTTTACCGTGCTATGCCCCATCCGCTTTTGTAGTGGCTGCGCGATTTCGCAGGTGTACCATTATGGAAAGCTTTGCAGGTACATCACTCACTACAGCTCGTAGATCCAAGTTAAAAAATCTTTTACGTACTATTGGAATGAATATATCCATGCCATAATTCTGTCTTTTGGAGCCTCTATTACTGCATTTGCCAGTGCGAAAGCTTGCATGTCTGTGCCAGATTATCTGAATGAAATCGAAAGATTAACAAAATAATATATATCGTTATACTTTATTGTCGACGTATGCAGACCTTTTTATTTATTTATTTTTGTTTGTTTTTGAGTTAGGTTTTCTATCTTTGTTATTATCTAATACTAATGAAAATTATTTACAGTTGATTAATTTGCGTGAGCATCAAAATTTTGTTCTAAAGTTTGTATCATTTTCATTTTATAACCTCCATTACTCTACGATAGAATAAGGCTACTCAATTATTGGCCAATCTCGCACGTGAGTCGTGCATAAGATAAGTTCGACAAGAACAAGAGCTGGTCAATGCTGCACGCACAAACGGTCCTTTGCCCGTGGAGTGGTGGAGGTGCTCACTGCGAAGTAAAGCCAGGGCGGACGAACGAATTGGAATCATGCTTTGACTTCGTACTCTTGAAGGCGCAGCTGAAGTGTGCTCCGAGTTTCCCTGATTAGCGAAGTTGTTTTTTTTTTTTTTTACATTCACGAGCAGGCTTCGTAGGTTGCATTTCTAGTAACGTGGGGATTTGTGAACTTAGAAAAATAAAGTTTAGTTGGCAACCAGCGCTTGTCCCCGTCGTTTCTTTAAGTCTTTTCTCCACTTTCTCACGGCCCCGATTCTCGTAGAATACAAACATGAGTGTGCTCACACCTCTCCACACAGCCGTGTGGCAAGTTGTGAGCCGCACAGAATGCGCAAGATGAGTTTGTAAGTCTAAACGCTACAAACATTGTGAGAGACTTATATACAGTCGCCGAGAATTCACCGTAAATAAACAAAATAAAGGAAAGGAAAACAGGCACTCCGATTGGTCCACGGAGATAATCCCTGATTAGAATTTGAGTTGTGTTTTAGTAAATACTCATATAAAAGTATACCCACGTGGTGAAAAAAGCAACTTTCGAAGCACGCTTTCAAACCCTAAATAAATGTATTTATAGCGTAGGACCGACAGATAACATGCTGGGCGTTCCAGGAACAAGTGTTTTCTTTTTTAGAAAAAAATGACCGAATGTTTGCTGACGCTATTGCCTTTAGCAAGTGCAATAGCGTCAGCCAACATTCAGTCATTTTTGCGAAAAAAGAAAACACTTGTTTCTGGAACACACAGCAGGTTAATCTCTTTCTTTTAAACGCGTCAGTGTAGAACGAAACGCCCGAAAGGCTTTAGTGGCGTTGCTGCTATGACGGCATGTCATCTCTTGAAATTTTCACTCGCTGTATTTATTTACTCTGGTGTGTCAGTGTACTATATTTTGACGTTCCACTGCTCAAAACGAGATCACGGCTTCAATTCCCAGTTGCTACGTTCTCGTTGTAATTGGGGTGAAAGACACATCGTGCAGAGCGTGCGCTTATATAAAAAGGGCTCCAGGAGTTCAAAACAATAATTGTGAGCTGTATGTCAGAACCACCACAGAGACATTCATGCTTGACTCTGTGAAATGCTTTCCGAATATCACACTGTCACCGCGCCTAAACCACTGCCTGCAAGTTTCTTATTGCGGTAAATTATAGTCGTTGCGTGAATATTTAACCATTGTGCATATTCAAAGAATAATTTCATCAACGCAGCATTTCCATGCAGCTTATTGCTATATGAAATGTGCTATAGCAGAACATAGGAACAAATATAATCAAAGTGGCACTCATTTAACGAGTCCTGCATGGCAAAGATTGTAAATTAAGTCTGACTTGATATTCATATATAGGGTTTAACGTCCCTTAACCACCATATTATTATGAGATACGCCGTGGTGGAGGACTCCAAAAATTTCGACCACCTGGGGTTCTTTAATGTGCACCCAAATCTGAGCACACGGGCCTACAACATTTCCGCATCCATCGGAAATGCAGCCACCGCTGCTGGGATTCAATTCCTCAACCTGCGTTTTAGCAGCCGAGTACCTTAGCCACTAGACCACCACGGTGGGGCAAATTAAGTCTCTGAAACATAGGAAAATGTGTATTCAGATGTTGCACTATCAACATATTGTAGCTTCAAAATTTGACGTCACTTTGATGAGCAGAACTTCATAAAACTAGAAAACAGATGTCAGCAAGTCAGTCTCTCTCCTTGATATACTGCCATTGCTACGTGATTTGTATGGGGAACGTCGAACCAGAGTCGTAACGTTGCAGCTGCGACCTCCTGTAGGTCTTGTGCTGCAATTTACAACTGTCGTCACATATTCTATTTCAATATTCGTCCCTGCAGTTTCTAGTAGCATGAAAAGTGTGGTAGCGAGCATACTTTATACTGGGCGAGGTGTAATTAAAGAGCGCACATAGAGTCATGGCAAAGATGTACACAAACTTGACTGAATCAAATTATTGCTCACTTTCATTTCTACGAACGGAGCAGGCTTCCCAACGCTCTTGAAGTCATCGAGTCGTGGTATGGAAAAGGAAATGCACCCCGTCAACTCAGTCATTCCATAGGCTGCAGGGGGAAGAAAACACAAGAGAAATCAATGATAAGGATTCGTCTCGCGTAGTGATCATTAAATGGGCCCATGACCATAGTTCAGGCTTGGTGAAGAAAAAAAACACACATACACATTCTACAAACCTCGGGCACCAATGTGAACCCTTCAAATAATATTGACAAATTAAAGTAAATCTGCCATCGGAGCACGAAACTGCCACTTCTTCAATTGTCCCCTGTTCACACAGAGGCCCCCTCCTCGCTTAGTTCTGTGAGTGAACCAAGGGCAACGTTTGGATGACATGCACTTCTTCCTCAGGGGGGCCGCCATTTATGCCGGCACCATGTTCTGAAGTCTGCTAACAATACACATTATGCACACCAGAATCACGCTAGGATAAAGCGATCATGTTCCGCCTGATATTGATTGTATTCGATAGTTACTTGGAAAAGAGTTCCAACACCAGGGCCTAAAAATCTGCGCATTTATGCAAAAAAATTTTTATACACATTTAACATCAAGTAGTCAGAAAGGGAAGATGCGTGATTGACAAGTGCAGTATAGTAATCAACATAAATGGCAGAGCATATTTTTAATAAGGAGCATTTATTGGTCGCACGACGTCATGCTTTGGCGTCGGTGGCTGTGCCGTACACACCCCCATTGTGCATGCTCGTGTCTCGCGTCTCGTGCCGCATGCTCGCTTCTCGTGCCTTGCCAGAATGACACCCGCAAAACTTTCGCTTCCCTCCCCCTCTCTCGCCTTGCAAGGCCAACGCAGGCAGCATCCCACGTTACTAGAATAAACTCAGTTTGAAAGCTCCGTTGAAGAAGCGGGACAGGTGGTGCTCGCGAGAACTAGCAGTCCGATTTTGCTGCCGCGGTCCAGGGCGCGCGTGTTGTGATGATCGGCGGCGGCGATGGTAAGCGATTACCACAAATGGTGCGCTGTATTCACACGTCATTTCTCGGGCTGTTCTATACACGGCGCAGTTTCTTGCATGGAAACGCGTTTGTCATGCATGAAGCGTACCAAGGAGGAGGACATTTATCTAAAGTGAGGTGCGCTGACTTGCTTTGCGCCGGGCTCCAACAGCGACGACCGCAACAACTTCACTTCACGCAACTTGTTCGATTGTTTATTTATTTTTTTAAACATGCTTACACGGTGGCAGGAGCCAAGATAAAATCTGCTATAAGCCGCTTGAAAAGCTCATCTATGTAGCCCCCGGTCTCTTTCGTCCTGTGCTGGCGGATCAGCAGACGGACGATCGTAAGGAAATTTCCTCTCTAGTCTAGCACGTTGTCCGAGAGTTCATATTGTAGTGCAAATGAAAATTATCATTCCATTATTATTATTAATAATAATATTATTATTACATGCGGCAGCAATTGGTGAATATGGTAGAGATGATACCATTGAGTATTATGTATATACTGTGTGAAACAAATACCCAACAGTTACAAACACAGGAATTACAAAACTTGGACGCCGCTTGAGCTTCGCCGTCAAGAGTAGACCCTGTGTGAATCATCTTCTGACAAACTAGCCTAGCTTCGGTCTAGATGTTTACCTCGACCATGCCGTGAGAGGACTAACGACTGTGCGAGCAACACTGGGCTTTTCTATCTATTGTGCAATGTCTATTGAAAGTACAACTGTTGAGTGCCAATAACGCCAACCCGTGAAGGGCCCTCTACGCGCGCGTAAGGTGCAACTAGCGAACATATGTTTGAGTGCTCTGTAATAGCTGGGCCTTACAACCATCCACTCGTGGCTCATTTCAAATGTTTTAACACCTAGTGCAATTATACGCTTCTACCACTATATATTATGTGCGTTGAAAAGATTCATTCTACTACAAGAAAGAAAAAATTGAGCGCATTAGGCCTCGCTTTTTTTTTTTGGTTAGGCACAATATCAATCAAAACTTTTATTACATGGCATTCATACTGCTCTTTTTTTTTTTGTTCGAAACAGTTTCGACCATTGCCGGGCCTCTATGCTTGAACACCTAATTGCCACACACAGAACCATGGTTCCATTCGTACTCGTATAGAAGTTCCTTATTATTTGTTTTTGTGGCTGGTGCCTTGATTTCGATCGCGATAGCAATTATATGGGCACTCTCAGCTGGATTTCGCCGCTGGCGTCGGTGTCGACGTGGCCGTCACCTCACCATCACTCACCGTATATGTATTCGTATCTATATATATATATGAAAATGCAAGAAAGAAAAGAATCCAGAAAAAACTCAGGTGTGCCGAATCGAACTTGGGACTTCTGACACGTGATTGCGAGGCGTTAATCACGGAGCCACCGAGGAGAGCGTCCTTCAACGAGCAAGCTATCTATATCTACCACTTACCAATGCTCATGGGCCTCCCGGGGGGGGGGGGGGGAACACTATCGTGTTATTAGCATTATCAGCAAGATGGCGCAGTGAGCGCGCATGGCAACATCTTCACGACGGGCGGCCGCACTTTCATCTCCCAGGCGCACTTTGCCCCGCAAATAGCAGAAGGTCGACGTTCACTCGCGCGCCCTTGTCTCACTGTAGGAATGATCATACGTCTTGGCTGGCGTTCGGCTTTTACCGGAACGATTCTGTCTTAGTTACCGGGCACACAAAGGTCACTGCAATCGTTGCACCATCTACGTTTGCAAAAGAAAGTGTGCATTTCAGACACAGTGAAGTAACAAGCGAGACGCTTATTCGCGTCCATCTGTACCTGAGAGTACGTTTCGTGCGTAATTTTTGCGTGAGAAACGCAGGGCACGTTTTGATCTGCTGGCCATTCTGCGCGTCACCTTCCAATTTGTTGCTATCACGTTCATTGCTTTGACTTTGCGGCATAGCTGTGACTTCTTTTTGTGACGAACAAGATGATGTTTCGTCGCTCACAACCAGAGATGCCGAGATCGGAATTTCTGCCAAACGAGCTCTTTAACTCTATCACGTTCAAATAACAAACAGTGCATAAATATACCAAATATAAATATAAGTGAAGAGACAGGCGTTTATCTGACGATGCAATTTGAGCTCATGATCAAGGCATACACTGAAGATAGTTGTTACTTTCAACAAAAATACCCCAGGAATGTGACTGGAACGGTGAAACAAGTTGAGATTGTTTTACTATAGCCAAATTTGAAAATCCGGCTTGGTGAAGTCATTAATGTGCATGTCATAATTTGTTCTTGGTTGGGGTATAAACCAAATAATGTTGTTCATGACAAACTTCCAAAGAAATCTGATGCAATCGAAAAGGTAGAAGCAAGCTTTGCGTCGCAAAAAGATAGAAAGCTCGCTGCCAAAAACAAGGTCTACGACGTTCAATGTGAGAATGACGGCATCGTAACTCACTACTGTCATGTTTCTCCGGAGAAGAAGTTTTGATCTCACACGGAAAGAGGGAGCTCGTGCCCTGTACGCTTCCGCGCTTGTTCCCACCAACTCAACCCATATATTGAAGCTAAAATGTTCACAACCAAGGCGCCAATCCTCCCCAAAATGCATGACGCTACCCGAATGCCCAGTTCCTAGTTTAGAGGAGCCGCCAAACATATAACAGGAACATGAAAGGCATGCGACGAACAACGATTTCGACACTTCGAGAGTTGCATCAATGTCATCTGTCGCGCTGTCTTCTAAGTAATAAATATTTTTGCTTTATATATACTTTCCTTATGAACCAACGCAATCGTGTGTAAGTGGTTATCTTTTACCAACGACCATGTTTTTGTTCCTTTTGCCTCATATTACAGCAGTATATATTTTTCTCAATCACAGCTTTATCATTTTTCAACTTTATAGCAGGTAGTGGTGTGTGGCACATGAAGGTGTCACTTCTTCCCGGTGCAGTGTAGTCCATAGTTAACATACACTGTGAGTGTACTACATCCGTGGGTACGTTCGCAGAAAAATGGAATAAGTAAAAACACGCAAAGAGTGCCTTGCGCCTCCGATTCTTCAGGCAACCGTACCCAAACCCCAAAAGTTCACTCACTCAAATGAGGTGTTTTCAAGAAAGCTGCTTACATCATCCCTTACGTGGCCTTCTTTTTACAATAAAACAATTTAGAAACCTGTCAAGAGGCATTTCATGAAAGCCCCATAGCTGGTGGCCTCTTTTGTATTGTTCTTGAAAAGTTAGAGTCATTTCCACTGCATCTTTGTGTTATACCACTCATGATGAGAACGTGATGGCTAGAGTAGTAATGTTTCATATTGTGATGAGCATGTCCTTTCTTTTTCTTTTTGCGAAAAAAAACCTATGAGGAGAGTTTTGAAAAGGTTAAAAATGCGAGAAAAAAGGTCCAGTTGCTGTAGCAGTTTTTCGCAGTCTGTTCTCGATTGATAGCCATCATCAAGACTGGTCTGGTGAACAGTGGAAAGCATGGGTACTGTTTTTTTGTTTTGAGAATGTCTTTTTGTAATTAGTAAAAAATATTAGTACTGTTTTTCTAGAACATTTTTGCATTCCAGTAAGTCAACGTCTTTGAGGCTTTAGATACGTTTTGGGCCATTTCTTCTCTTGGCAAGACGGCTCCGGTTATAATGGATGCAGTCGTCATAAAAACTACGGTGAAAATGCTCATTCACCTAGAACCTAACGTACTTTGAGGTTGAACGCAATGCATACAGATGAATTATGGGCAGGACGTAGATTTTGAGCCAACTGGCAATGGGCAACGCATCCGAGCCAATTTATACAAGCGACTTTGAACGTATCCACATAGGCAGTCCACAAATGCAATACAATAATGTCGACTGCAAACACGATGAATAGTTAGGTTCATAATAGTACAACAAGAAAGTCGCCGTGCGCAACAGCGCGGTGAACCACCGGGGTCCGTCGTCGTAGCAGATGATGCACCGAGAGTAGCGCAAAATCTGACTGCAGCGCTGCTAGTTCTCCCGACCGCCATTCGGCCCATACTCCTCCGCTGGCGAAAATACGGAGTATTGAAACTGATTTTATTTTAGTAAAGTTGGGCAGCGTCTGCTAGTAAAAACAAAACGACTGCTCTAGCTACCCAACCATTCACTGACCACCACATATGTGCAGGAACAGGATCGTGCGTTTGGAATCCAGTCAAAGGCGCATTTACTTGTCCTTCGCTTGACGTTGAGGGCAACACTTCTCGTTCATTCAAGAAACAGCAATAGTTAAGAAGAAATAAGTGTGAGGCATTCTCAAACCATACCCAATCACGCAACTTTCACGCAATACCCCCACCACTCTGCGACGCGCTTGAGTTCCCACAATGGGAAAATGCTGGCGGCATTTTTTTTTTCCTTCTTGAATGCTGAAGAGAAGCTGAGACAAACGGGGGGCATTGAACATCGCGAAATTGGCACTAGTTCATTAAATTTGGTCGAGTCACTTTCTACTTTTCCTACATAGAAATTTAGCTGATACAACATTTGTAGAAAGCCGGCACTTCTATGCCTTTAAACGCTTTTCCTTTTACTTTGGTCTTTCATGAATTTGTCTGCTCGGGCATCTGATTTGTCTGCTCAGACGTACTGATACGACCAACAACAGGATTGACAGCCATTCTCTATTAAAAATATTTTTAGCGCTGGACTTTCTTTTTGGGGCACAAGGTGCATTTACTTTTTTAGGAATAAGCCACTCAGGTTCTGAAAACACAGAGAAGTTGGCATCGAGTTCACGAACGACATATATATTGCGCAAAGCTTTTTACTTTTTGATTTGCCACCCAATGGCACGCCATTTTACTGCCCCAATTATTCATTCACGTCATATCATAATATCGAAAAACGTAATAACAAGCCCGAAAACCTGTTTCTACTAATTCACAATAGGACAAAACAAGCTTCATATTTCATTACTCTCACTCTTTTTTGGTACTTCACCTACAGAATTTACAGTCTTAGTCGTACTTCGAATCACGGGAAAGCATCTAAGAAATAAGGTAAAGATGTCGGGCCACCAAATTTCGAGGCTATCCCAAGCCTGTTGGTTTCCTCTGTATGCAAGGGCTCTCCAAACGAAGTATAAGACACAACAAACGCGTAGAATACATTTTAATTCACTTCTTAAGGTGTAGTTGAGTGCGCACTATCGCGATTTAGGCCCTTCGCTTGCGCAACAGCACTGGCGTTTCAGATAGGAGAATCAACAGCAGTCGTCGTGATGTCACACCGGAGCTGTAGTGACCTTAGTGACCCTCGCCATCTCCAAAACGAGCGTATCAAACGTACCAGCAAAGCATCGGTTGCTGTATTCATCATCATAATAATCATAATAATCATCATCATCGTCGTCGTCATCACCATCATCATCATCATCATCATCATCATCAGCCTGACTACGTCCACAGCAGGACAAAGGCCTCTCCCATGTTCCGCCAGTAAACTCGGTCATGTGCTTCCTGCTGTTAATTTATACCCGCAAACTTCTTAATCTCATCTGACCACCTAACCTTCTGTCTCTCCCTAACCCGCTTGCCTTCTCTAGAAATCCAGTTAGTTACCATTAATGACCAGCGGTTACCCTTTTTACGTGCTACATGCCCAGCCCATGTCCATTTCCTCTTCTTGATTTCCGCTATGATATCCTTAACCCCAGTTTGTTCCCAAATCCACTCCACTCTCTTCTTGTCTCTTAAGGTTACACCTACCATTTTTCTTTCCATTGCTCGCTGCGTCGTCCTCAATTTAAGATGAACCCTATTTGTAAGTCTCCAGGTTTCTGCTGTGTTGCTGTATTGCTTGCCGAGTTTCGATTGCTTCTTGGCTAAGTGCTACGCATAGAAACTTGTGAAGGCATTCAGCGTGCTCGAGTGCTGAAAGCATCCGATGGGTTGCCAGTGTAGTGACAATGCCTGCATACTATTGTGTGCTAGATTTTTATCCGAGCAGATTCGGTGAACCAGTAAGCTTTCACAACTTTCTCTGAGACTAACAACTGTGAAACGCCTGGACAGACTCCGTTCTTTGGCGAATACCCGGCTATGACCCTTTTGTTAAAGAGCTGTGTTGTACAACGGATGGCTACGCATGTTGTGAACAAGGAAAGGACTCGCATGCCTGCTATTACGAGTGTGCTGGCGTCCCTGGCAGAGACGCTGTGTGCGTCCGTCAAGGAAACTGGGTGCTTTCGAAGAGACACTCCACACGTCTTTCACGGACAACGAAGCCGTCCATCATGCAGAGACGCCGCGCACGTCCCACAGCGGGGCTTCCCCTCCTCCTTCAGTGCCTCGGCGCCTATAAAAGGCCCGCGCATCTAGCGGCGGGCTGCTTCTTCATTCATGTTCTGTACATACGTTGTAAATATAAACACTTTGTTTTCTTCTGGCTGACTTTTGCCTTGCCACTGCCTGGATGCTAATGCAGCTGGTCACGGCGACTGTCAGAGCGTTCCTTACGTGTATGTTAGAGCAGACGAAACTCAGCGCAGTGTGCGTCACAGCCTTGTGTAGTCACGTGACCAGGCCACCTATGCATCGACGTCATTGTCCAACTTAGCGCCGTTAAACCGAAACCAAAAATGGTCCACATAAATGAAACAAGACTAAAATATTTAGCGAAAATACATGAATCTTGCTGCGTGTATCATGTTTCCTGTAGCTGAAGGAAACGCTCACAGAAAAGAACACGCATGCCACAAATTTGGTGGTACCACCCCCTATCAACCACAAGTTTGCCCACTACGCACGTTACAGATCAATTTGTCCATTATCATAGGGCTATCAAATTGGGCAATTCTAAAATTAGCGCAAATGCAATTATTATTGGCGTACTTTTAAGTTTTTCTAAAGCTAAAAAACCCCTTTCAATTAATGAAAATTTGTATGCATTAACACCCAGAAATTCTCAATGCGTTGCGGATAATTTCACACACCTGAGATAATTTTACAAGTACTGCGGATAATTTTACACACCTGAGGTAATTCAAAGCGACCCTCATTCTTAGTCTTAGAAATGCTTAGGAAACAGTGAAATGCTCACTAGAAATAAATTCAGAAAATAGTTGTGTTGAAAAGACCTAATACAAGCGGAAATACTACGGGCGCAGTGTTTCTCAATGTCCTATAATAAATCAATGTCCTTTGTTCCAATCGAGCAATGTTCGACCCCCTACGACTTTATGCTATGGCGGGAGCATGGCAGATGGTGCTGCACACGCGTACAATCTCTCGTAAACGCGCTCTTCTGATACCGATTCGAAACGCACATCCTCGACCATGTGTGACCACACGAAAGAGTACATCGTTTCAATTAATCTGCCTGGTTCCTGCTATTAACAAGCAAACATCAGATCTTAAATGATATTCTGCTCGGTGCCTCTGTTTCTAAGTAGGACGTCAGACAGAAGTCCACATTACCGTTTTCTTGTAAGCTCCGCGTGTCGCGTACAAAAGCAAAATTTAGCCACAATGTTCGCGGCGTCATACTCCGTCTCTGGAATTTCCTCTTTGAGCCCACGGTGTGGCTCATTGCTCCATTCACGTACAGCTAAAGCAAGAAACACACGTTTTCTTTTTATGTCCTTCTTTTTCAAGGGTTTTATTATTTATTTATTTATTTATTTATTTATTTATTTATTTATTTCTGCTGGCCACCCTGAATGAGCAGCTATTGCTGTTACTGAGATACGACGGCTCGCATCATTCTGTCTACGACATGAATGCTTGATTTCTCCGGCTCCACTCGGAGTAAAAAGAGTTTACCCGTCGAACGGCAAGTTTTCATCGGTTTTTCTTGTTTAATTCTTTTTCTTTATTATGTTTGCTGCTGTTGTTGCTGTTACACAATAGTCTTGATCACACCACACTTTAGATTGGCACAGCGCGTCCATTTAAACAACACTGGTTCTTTAAAAAAGCAGAATGCTGTCGACATACCCTGTATGATTCCTTTCAGTCGTAGCTTCTTGGTTATGTTTTGCAATAGCATGCTCGTCACAACGTTTCCTGCAATCATCACTTTCGTAAGGCTCCTTGTGTCCGACTGGCTTAAGAGCGGGTAGGCGAGTAACTTTTGTGTGAACGTTGGGTACAGCAAAATTGTTGTTGCCTGCACGCAAATCAAACGATAAAAATACAAGTTACAAATGACTTTAGCTTGTCTTAGTTGTGCGCTTGTGTATTGTTACTTGTGCTAAACCTTGCCACGCGCCAATTCTAGCATACTTATTTAACAAGTATTGAAGATCTGTTGAGGGCTGATGGCGTTCGTTAAAAAAATATAACAAAATGGATTTATATTTTGAACGATTGAACCGAGTACACAGAAGAGGTCAAAATGAATGGCATGGCTTCTCGCATCTTTCCTAGCAGAGGCTACAGGCACCAGTAGACGTTTATCTTTTAAGTGCTGTGCTCCCGACGAGAACAGACTGTGAAATATGCGTCTCTCTTTGGAGCGCCCGTAATCTCTTATTCTAGGGTTTTGCGACTCTGAATCAAGAAATTTGATGCCAGCCTTACTTCATTGAACAATCCAATAGATTGCCATCACATTCATTGCTTTTCCCTTGCAGTGAAGCTGCGATCTTTTATTCTTCCTGTATCCTTGTTTTGTTCACCTGCTTTTCCGTACGGCAAAAAGTTCGCAGCGGTGGTTTGGACCAGAAGGGCTAGACTTCGAACTGTGCCACGGTATGCACAACGAACCCGCAGTTGGCCGAACAGGCGACCATCGCACTCGCTCTGCTAAATGGTCGGTGCGAAGAGGTGTACAGCGACTCATAAGCTGCAGTCAGAACCTTTCCAAAAGGGCCGCATATCAACACAGGCCGCCAGGGTCTTGAACAGCTCCACCAGCGATGGGAGTGTTCTTCACATCGTATAGTGGTTCCCCGCGCATGTCGGATCCGTAAGCGGCATTGCACTGAACCCGAACGAGTTGCCCACAGAGCAGCACGCGCACTC